GTGCATCCTACCCCTGACCTCTGCTCTACATGTGTTACTTTCACCTGATGTTTGCACTTTGTGCATCCATCATTCCTTACCTCTACTCTCTGTTCATCTCCTACTCCTTTGCATTCTGTGTGTCTTTTACTCCTGACTTCTGCAGTCCATGCATTGCTGACGTCTGCACTTTTAGTTTCACTTGCTGCTGACCACTTCTTTCTGTCCAACACTTACTCCTGACCTCTGTTTTCTGTGCGTTACTTAGACCTGACCTCTGCACTCTGTGCATTATGCACTCCTGACACCTGCACTCTGTGTTGCATAGGTGGGCATAGGTTATCCTTTAAAGCCTTGCTACATCAACATTTCACTGTGGGGCAAATGCTCTACATTATTTCTCTACCCATGATGCCTGTAAGGAAATATGACTTATTAACTGGCATCCATTTTGTATAATGCCTCCATTTCTAGATATGTGAACAGTTTAGTTTCGGTTTTGTAACTTCTCTCATTTTCTTAGACTAGTTTCATTTCTATAAACTGAACTACCTTATATGGTGTCCCTCAACTATTGGCAGTTTCTGTTCTTCATGTAACTATATTGATAAGAATGGAATGTTTCATTGGTCATCCTGAGATTAAGCAACGCCTACTGAGTTCTGTATAACCGTTCTTGTCATGCATTAAACTTTCAGATATTTAGCTTGCACACTTCTGTGTCTGGAGCTTTATTTCTCCCAGGCCTGAGGGTGGAAATAATGAGGACAGAGGCTACAGACATAGGTTGAATCCTTGCAATGCCCAAGGCATTTTGTCTTTACACTTTAATTATATACTCCTTGTTACAACAGTCTCTGACCGATCAACTCATGATGTGTTAAAAATGAGGAAAACTCAGAATTAAGGTAAAGTGGATAAACAAAAGCAAGATTAAGCCCCAAATCAAAAATGTAATATTTTGCAGCTTACCAGTCATTAGATGTGGTGGCTGCAAAATCTTTATTTTTTTAGGCTTTTCTTCACCCTGTTTTCACCTGGTGATCTCCTTAAAATCACAGGAGCGCACCAACAGCGTACTGTTGGTATATTTGTGAGGGACCCCTTGGCTGCCATTGTGCTATATGCTGGGTTTCCAGTGCGCTCCTGTGCCTTTAAGGAGGGGTGGGTTCCCTCCAGGTTTACCTGCCCTCAGTCTATCCATTATTATGCATGTGCTTCTACTATGGAGGTTCTCAAAATTTATAGAGTTAGGACTGCAAAAAATACTGGGTTGCCGTGAAAAGGCTGTGCAGCCTAACCTCTTGCCAACTGCACTATAGTCGAAAGACGGATACAGCGCAGTTGTCCAGTTCTGGGAGGACGTCCTCCCAGAATACACCCCCTGTGCTACTCCACTGCGCTCTCGGTGATCGCTGTGTCCTACAGACACAGCTGATCACATTACAAGGTAAAAGGCCAATCACAGCAGCCTTTTACCACATGATCAGCCGTATTCAATTGCACAGCAGATCACAAAGTAAATACAGTTTCCAGTTATCAGCAGCACTTTCCTCATGCTGTCACAGCCTGAAGAAAGTACTGCCAATAACCGGCAAATGTGACAGAGGAGATCTGCACTGATAAGCAGGGCACTGATAATCAGTGCCCTGCTTATCAGTGCCACCCATCAGTGCCCAGTCAGTGCCACACATCATTGCCCAGCAGTGCTGCCCATCACTGACCATCAGTACCACCTATCAGTGCCGCCTATCAGTGCCCATCATTACTGCATATCAGTGCATCATCAGTGACTCCTCATCAATGCCCACCAGCGCCGTCTCATCAGCGCCGTCTCATCAGTGCCACCTCATTAGTGCTGCCCATCAGTGCCCATCAGTGCTACCTATCGATACCGCCTCATCAGTGCTGCCTATCAGTGTTCATCGGTGCTGCCTATCAGTGCAGCCTCATTAACGCACATCAGTGAAGGAGAAAAATTACCTGCTTGCATATTCGAAACAAAGAAAATCTTTCTTTTTGTTCAAATGTTTTGCTCTTTTTTTTGTTTATAGTGGAAAAAATAAAAACCCCAGTGGTGATTAAATAACACCAAAAGAAAGCTCTATTTGTGTAAAAAAATTATAAAAATTTCAATTGGGTACAGTGTAGGCATGCATTTGCAAAAGTTTGCAAACTTAACCCCTGTCTTTAACGCAAACTATTAGACAGGACAATTTGGTTGGTTGCAGACTGGTTGGTAAGTTGAGCTGGGAATTTTTTTTGTTGTTTGGCATTATATATCTACCTGCACCCTGTTTAGACCTGTGATCACAGCACCTGACAAAGGGAAGTCTTCTAGCATCTATTTCCTTTGTAGCTCTGAGATGTTATGCAACCTAATGCCAAATGCTGAAAAGGAAGTCAGTCCTGGAAGGATTATTGGCATTTTATATAAGTTAGTCCAGGGCTTAAAATTTCGAGTCTAGACCTACTAGCCAGGCACAAACCTTACTCTCCACCAGTTGCCCCACCCAACCTTGCCCAGGTCTGCCTCCAACTCCACCCCCGGCCCGGCCCCCAACCCCACCCCCAGCCCTGCCTCCAACCACGCCCCCTTAAAGCTTATGAAATTGCATTTTTCTTTAGAATAAAGAGCCCAAAATATAAAAAACTGCAATTATAACATAGCTTTATTATGTCAATTTATTCATAACAGCAATAGCTTAATAGCAATAGGGTGCAATCAAGATATCAAGTTTTACAGCTTTAAACCTGTAGTGAACATTTTGTATTTTTTTTGTTTATCTCCTGCATCTTTAACCACTTGTCTACAGCACACTTATACCCCCTTCCTGCCCAGGCCAATTTTCAGCTTTCAGCACTGTTGCACTTTGGGGACTCAGCGCACCGCCAATCGCCGCACTGCGTGCTCCCGGAGCCGCGCATGCGCAGTTAGAATGGGACGACGTCATATGACGTCCTCCCAGAACGAGAGAACCGCCTTGCACCCATCATTGTACTATATGGTGGGCAGGAGGTGGTTAAAAAGAGACTTTTTAATATGACGATATGATTTTTGTTAGTGAGCACATATTTTCAGTTATTATTGTGTTTTTTCCTTAAACTGATTTTTGTATAATACTTTTTATATTTTTATTATTCATTTAGTAAAGTCCAGTCTTATTTTAGCAGAAAATTATACATAGAAAATCAATGTGTTTTGGAACAGTAAATAACAAGTGTCTTACAGTTTATTTTGTAGCCCTATGCTTAGAGGTATACTGCAGTGTACTAAGGCCACTGAGCTCTGTGTGAGGGCAGTGCAGTGGTTTCTCTACAGTGATCCCTCAAGGCAGTGGAGAGCGGGCCCTCTCCTCGTGTCCACACGGCGGGGGAGAGCGGACCTCTTCTCGAGACCTCCGCAGCGGTGGAGAGGGTGTCTACTCTCAGCGGAGGAGAGCGGACCTCTCCTGCACCTGTCCCCTCAGCGGCACTGCCAGTGTAATGGCGGTGCCGAAGAAGCCAGAACCTGGAAGTTGGAAACCGGAACTCGGCTTCACAATGAGCCTTGGAGCGCAGGTGCAGCCGCTCCATCCATCATCTGTGCTCGCCGCTCACCACACAAGAATTTCTCCTCGCATTTGGTGAGCGGGCGAGCGGCTTTTTTAAGCCCTGGGTTAGTCCATATAATTTTCTCAGAGTAGAGTTGTCTTGTTCAGCTCATAGAATACTTCCTAGTTTACAATTCATCCTATACAATCCCCCTTTATGTGAGAAGGTCTGTTACAATACACCATGATCTTTAACCACTTGCCGATCAGCCAACAGTTATTTTACTGCTGGCTGTCAGCTTCCCCAGGCACCATGAGATACAAGTACGCCACAGTGCTCATGCGCACTGCATGCTTCCTGTGTGATGTGCAACCGCTGTGTCCACTGGACAAAGTGGATTGCGGTGCTCGGTATTGGACCGCTGTGAGCAGCCCAGCTACCACTGTGCAATCACATTTCACCTATTAAACTAGAGTCTTGAATGAAATCCATTCATGACATCATTGTTTACTACTGTGTGTGATCTGTGACTGGTCACCAGTGATCACATGGTACCTGGGCCATCACAGCACCCTATACCATGTAATAGCTGTGGGCCAATCACAGCATCACAAGTGTAAAAAATTAGTCATGAATGAAAGCCATTCATGACAGTTAAAACCATTACTGTTATAGTACCATATCACATCATCACTGTAACAGGCAATCACAGTGTAAAAAAAAAAACCCTGCTCACCTCCCCAGAATAGTACAGTGACACTGGAAAACAACTTAAAAAAAACTCACCAGTCCTCTTACTAAATACCTTGGACTGTCCAAAAATGGCTAATTTGGTATTTGTACTGTCCTGGAATTTTTTTAACAAATAAAATGTATTGAACATAGTGCAATGTTACACATGTTACATAGTTATATAGTTAGTCTGGCTGAAAAAAAGAGAAGTGTCCATCCAGTTCAACTATTAAAAAAAAAAGTTATAATCCTATACCCACTGGTGATCCAGAGCAAGGCAAAAAAAAGCCAGCAAAGAATGATTTACTTTTCTCCTGCAGGGCAAACAATTCCTTCCTGATCCCCCGAGAGGCAATCTGATATTCCCTGGATCAACTTTACCTATAACTGTTAGTATCCAGTTATATTCTGTGTATCTAAGAAACAATCCAGGCCTTTTTTAACCGCCTCCCGCCCGCTATATAGTAAAATGACGGACGCAAGGCGGTTCTCTCGTTCTGGGAGCGCTCTGGGAGCACGCAGCGCAGCGATCGGTGGTGCGCTGTGCCCCTCGGACACAGCGGATCACCGATCCACGGAAAGAGCCGAAGATGTCAGCTCGGTCATGTATCCAGTCACAGCTGATCACATGTAAACAGGGAAATGCTGGTTACCGGTATTTCTCTCCTCACGAGCTGTCACGCTGACAGCTCGAGAGGAGAGGAGAGCCGGTAATCGGCATTCCTCGGAGGGGACATCTACACTGATCATCAGAGCACTTATGATCAGTGTGCCTTGATGATCAGTGTAGCCCCAGCAGTGCCACCTGTCAGTGTCCATCAGTGCCATGTGTCAGTGCTCATCCATGCAATCTGCCAGTGCCCATCAGTGCCACATTTCAGTGCACATCTGAGCTGCCTTTCAGTGTCACCCATCAGTGCCAGTCAGTGCCACCTACAAGTGCTGCCAATCAGTGCCACCTATCAGTGCCTGTCAGTGCCGCCGATCAGTGCCAGTCAGTGCCGCCTATCAGTGTGCATCAGTGCCGCCTATCAGTGCCAGTCAGTGCCGCCTAACAGTGCCAGTCAGTGCCGCCTATCAGTGCCAAATAGTGCCGACTATCAGTGACATATACGAGTGCTGCTTTTCAGTGCCCATCAGTGGTGCCTGTCAATGCCCATCAGTGCCACCTACCAGTGCCTCCTCATCAGTGCCCATCAGTGCCACCTATCAGTGCCCATCAGTGCAGCCTATCAGTGCCCATCACTGCAGCCTCATTAGCGCACATCAGTGAAGGAGAAAAATCACTTATTTACAAAATGTTATAACATAAACTAAGAAAAAAAATTTTTTTTAATTTTTCAGTGGTTTTTGGTTTGTTTAAGAAAAAATAAAAAACCCAGAGGTGATTAAATACCACCAAAATAAAGCTCTATCTGTCACAAAAAAATTATAGAAATGTCATATGGGTACAGTGTTGCATGACCGCGCAATTGTCATTCAAATTGTGACAGCGCTGAAAGCTGGAAATTGGCCTGGGCAGGAAGAGGGTATAAGTGCCCTGTAGGCTAGTGGTTGAAGCAATCCACTGAGCTGGTCAGAACCAACTCTTGAGGGAGTCTATTCCACATTTTCACAGCTCTTACTGTGAAGAAACCTTTCCGTATTTGGAGATTAAATCTCTTTTCCTCCAGATGCAAAGAGTGCCCCCTTGTCTTCTGTGATGACCTCAGGATGAATAGCTCTACACCGAGTTCACTATATGAACCACTGATGTATTTATACATGTTGATCATATCCCCCCTTATGTATTATACATGGGGATCATATCCCCCCTTAATCTCCTCTTCTCAAGAGAGAATAAATTCAGTTCCTCTAATCTTTCCTCATAGCTGAGCTCCTCCATGCCTCTTATCAGTTTGGTTGCCCTTCTCTGTACTTTCTCCAGTTCCCCAATGTTCTTTTTGTGAATTATAAATATCTATTAGTAGTGCAGCGCTATAACTTATAAAATACTTATACACATATATGACTCTTGAATGACTCTTTTGTGCATGTGCTCCACACTAAGTGCAAATAAACGGGGTGTCAATCCACAGTGACAGGGGTGCCCCCTCACCTTCCTGTGCAGGCCCCTCAGGACCAATGAGCCAAATGATGCCTTATTATTGCTCCACAGACCGTCAAATCCTCCTCAGCAGTAATGGTGGGACTCTTTCTTTAGTAATGGAATTTAGAACCTCTCCAAATACGTTCCCAGCAAGGCGATCGGCGGTGCGCTGTGTCCAATCTACGGAAAGAGCCGAAGATGTCGGCTCGGTCATGTGATCAGCTGTGTCCAATCACAGCTGATCACATGTAAACAGGGAAATGCTGGTTATCTGCATTTCTTTCCTCACGAGCTGTCACGCTGACAGCTCGAGAGGAGAGGAGAGCCGGTAATCGGCATTCCTCGGAGGGGACATCTACACTGATCATCAGAGCACTTATGATCAGTGTGCCTTGATGATCAGTGTAGCCCCAGCAGTGCCACCTGTCAGTGTCCATCAGTGCCATGTGTCAGTGCTCATCCATGCAATCTGCCAGTGCCCATCAGTGCCACATTTCAGTGCACATCTGAGCTGCCTTTCAGTGTCACCCATCAGTGCCAGTCAGTGCCACCTATCAGTGCTGCCAATCAGTGCCGCCTATCAGTGCCCGTCAGTGCCGCCTATCAGTGCCAGTCAGTGTCGCCTAACAGTGCCAGTCAGTTCCATCTAACAGTGCCTGCCAGTCAGTGCCGCCTATCAGTGCCAGTCAGTGCCCCCTATCAGTGGTGCCGCCTATCAGTGCCATATATCAGTGCTGCCTTTCAGTGCCCATCAGTGATGCCTATCAATGCCCATCAGTGCCACCTACCAGTGCCTCCTCATCAGTGCCACCTATCAGTGTCCATCAGTGCAGCCTATCAATGCCCATCACTGCAGCCTCATTAGCGCACATCAGTGAAGGAGAAAAATCACTTATTTACAAAACTTTATAACAAAAATATATTATATAAATGAGTGTGAGCTGTGCATTTATATATATATTATATGAATGAGTGTGAGCTGTGCATTTATATATATATTATATGAATGAGTGTGAGCTGTGCATTTGCATACATTATATAAATGAGTGTGAGCTGTGCGTTTATATATATATTATATGAATGAGTGTGTTTATATATAATATTATACGAATGAGTGTGAGCTGTGCGTTTATATATATTATATGAATGAGTGATAGCTGTGCGTTTATATATATTATATGAATGAGTGTGAGCTGTGCGTTTATATATAATATATGAATGAGTGTGAGCTGTGCGTCTATATATAATATTATATAAATGAGTGTGAGCTGTGCGTCTATATATAATATTATATAAATGAATGTGAGCTGTGCGTTTGTATATATATTATATAAATGAGTGTGAGCTGTGCGTTTGTATATATTATATAAATGAGTGTGAGCTGTGCGTTTGTATATATTATATAAATGAGTGTGAGCTGTGCGTTTACACCCCATTTGTCAATATCAGCTTCATCTGTAAGCTTTCTTTCTTAGTAACTGCAGCCAAGAACAGAATGTCAGAAAAGATTTATCCTGTTAGTTATGAGGGCAATTTATAGGGTTTTCTGCTTCCAATGATCAAATACAAGTCTCCTCAGCAATGACTGATATATCAGCTGTAATATTTCTGCCGAACAAAAATAGCAAAGCCCCGAATCATTGTGTGAGTCCCATGCAGATACAGCAAGCTCCAGTGAGTCAGCGTCAATGTGACTCAAAGTACCACAGTGACAGGTTGCATGAGGAAACATAAGAAATCGCAGACGTTCTGGGAACATTTGAATCTGTTCATTCCAGTTAAGGCAGTTAAAATGAACGCATACCAAGCAGGGTACTAATCGAGGTGAAATTGTGACCAAAGTATCAGATGTCTGGCTGGAAGAATCTGCATTTCCTGTTTGTATTCATTCTCCCTGTTTATTTTATCACATGATATGTGAGAATATGTATGGAAATGTATACTAAATATCAATATTAAAACATTGATCTACTGGACTGGTTTACTTTAGGAAACGTCTCTTGACCCTTCTTCACTAACTGACTGCCAGACTCTATTTTGCCATATTCACTATCTCAACCTAAGGCAGAATTTCAGCTAAAAATAATACGTTAAAAGCGAATAGCCAATTGAAAAATACAATAAGAAAACCAGCTTTTGCTGCAATATTCACGTTCAATTCAAAAATTTCCCCTGCAGTACGTTTTTTCCAGCTAGATGTCCTCAGTCTGATGGTCAGCAACAGTCAACTCACTTGCTGTGAGCCAGGTTGTTCCAGGCCTGCACCCAGCCTGGGATCTGATAGTGAAAATAGAAGCAGCAGAGTGACAATCTCCTCCCTCTGTCACTCTGCTCCCTACTCCTAGCAGCATGCTTCTTGATAGTACACAAACTGATCAACTTCTGGTGCTGCTGCTTACCCTCACACTCCAGCCCTGCTGTACTTAGGGCAACAAGTGACTATACTGTTTGCACTGAAAAATACATTTAATGATGTATTTATAATTAAAGAGCTGCATTCATTTGTGTCTTTTATATCTGCCTAGAGTTTGATGCCATGTCTGTCTCATCAGATTAATATTACATTAATAAATAATAAATTATGTCACGCTCTAAGGGGGAGGCATGGGTGTTGAAACTTATGTGACAATAAGGGAGGGGGTTTGAACTATCTCGACATTACCAAATACATGTTTTTGGAAATGCACAAATAGCTTGAAGCAGGTCAAATGCAGGTCAGAAGGAGGTTAGCTGCAGGCCAGATGTACCTGTCAATGAATTCTGAATGATTAATACAAGCTTGAAGCCCATTGACATTAAAGCGGTAGTAAACCGCAACTTGAAAAAAAAACAAAAAAAAAATCCCCTGCAAGGTAATGTCATAATGTGTTAGTATGCATCGTATACTAGCACATTATGACAGCGTTACCTTAAAAGGAAGCCCTCCAGCGGTGTGCTGTCATCGTTGACAGAGCTTCCATCCTCACCCGGTCTTCCTTCCAGGTTCACAAGCTCCAGCCCTCTGACTGGCCGAGCCACGATGACGTCCACCCGCACATGTGTGCGGGATTCTGGGACTATGGCACAGCGCTCAGAAGGAGTGCATGCGCCCGCTGTCATAAAGAAAGAATATCTCCTAAAAGTTGCATGTTTAGGAGATATTCATTATACCTACAGGTAAGCTTTATTATAAGCTAACCTGTAGGTAAATGAGACAAAATTGGGTTTACTTCCACTTTAAAGCGGAACTAAAAGTAAAAATACTTACCTTAGTTCTAATGGTCCAATGCTGGTGTTCCAAACGTCCTATGCTGGTGCCGGCAACCTATCCCTAGAGTGCCTGTCTTCAGCCGTCTTGATTGGTCAGTATGGGATGACGTCACTCTCTCGCATGTGCAGGAATACTTTCATCCTGACACACAGGCAGTGTGCTGGAATGTAAACTGAGCTGTGCATGGCCAGCTCAGTGTACATTCTACAGGAGATTGCGAGCAGGCAGGTACAGTATGTGTATTTTATTGCAGAAAAGACATTGCATGTCATTGAATTGTCTCTTCTGCCTTTTCACATTTTTTAACTTTTGTTCTGCTTTGAAGGGGAACTAAACCCACCTTTGATGGCTTGACAATTCTGTTGACAGCTGACATAACGATATTAGCAACCTTGACAGCTATCACCAGAGGCATGACTTAATGTAAGTGTTTTGGGAAACAGTTAAATTGTTGGTTTAGCTTTGCTTTAACACTGCTTGAACAGTGGCAGCAATGGTTATCTTTTAAAAAGACGAGTTAAACCATGTGAAAAAAGTGACCGTTATAAGCAGACCTGGCAGTGGTATATCCAATAATAAAGTTTACAGGACTGCTGGATAATATTCAAAAGGTGTAACTTGTTATCATGTATACAGTACATTTGATGTGAGAAAAAACATTTTTTTATTTTGGGGGGATTGTGTAATTAATCACAGAAAAAGAAGACAAGCAGCACCATCTAAGTGCAGCAGTAAAAACAAATAATTTATTTCCACAAAATTGTCAAGTCACAATTCGAGTCAAATAAATGCTTGTCAAACTGGTGTCACCTGCTGTGCAACTCCGGTCCGGTCCCGCTGCAGGCAGGTCTCCAATGTACTATTGTGATTTGCCAGTTTTGTGGAAATAAATTGTTTTTATTGCTGCACTTAGATGGCACTGCTTCTGTTCTTTTTATGGTTCACACAGAGTCTCTTCTAGCTTTCTTTGAATATGTTGCCACTGAGTCAAAGCATTGTTGGACTATACCTTAACCACTTTTGGACTCTAAGGACTTTACTTGTGCGGTTTATTTACTAGGTTTAATAGTAATTGAAACAAATGTGTCAAAAGGAAGGATAGTTTGTGCTTCCAATTGACCCCAAAAACATGGCCGCCTCCAGTACATCTACAGGAAAATGGAGAACGGGGTATATATAAGCTGGCAATGGATGAGTGATTGACCTATCACAACCCCCTGATGAAGCCATGTGATTGGAGGCGTAACGCGTAGGGGAGGGGCTACGTCATCACTCGGAGAGGAGCTGCACAACACGATAGACGGCAGGTGTATGACTCAGAGGCCAGCAGAGGATTTCCAATGGGATATTGCGTTATTTAAACCTGTCTAATGTGAGTTTAATACTTGGATAATGGGAATAAAAAGTTTTAAAAGGTAAAGCACTATGTCCTCTATTTCTTCCTGCATGCGGAGTAATACAAGGAGAGGATAATTAAGAGGTCTAAGATAACAAAAGGAGTGTGTAATCCCTGAGGGGATAATCAGCCACCAGAGGATACATCCATTACTCCTAAAGGAAGGATCTCCCAATTTTACCAGCAAAAGTATATGTCCAGCAGGTTCCAGGGAAAGTGAACCGAAAGCGTGTATAGCCTAATTGCAGGCATCAAAGGAGGTGAGCGCACATCTTCACTATTTGAAGGATTCACAAAAGTCACAAATTGAAGAACAACAAGCACCAAGTCACTATATACAAACAATTATTTATTCAATGGGACTATTGTTTTGATGATGTTTGGATTCATACTGGTCACTACTGGTTTATTTATGAGCATTTGGTTATTTTTGTTTATGGGGATCATTTAAATGCGTTTTAGTTGAGGGTTATTAGTTGGTTTATTATTTTTGTTATATTAAATGAGGGTATTATGAATATAAATGAAATTGAGGGTATTAGTAAGTGCATCATGTCACTAATAGATGATTTATGAGCACTTGGTAAAATATTTTTTTTAGAGGAGTATTTTATGTGGAATTATTTTGATATTTATTTGGAGGAGATTGATTAGTTGAAATTTTCTATTTAAATATTTTTTGGTATTTATACACTTTTATTAGTTATTTGTAACATTATTTGAATTAATTTAATGGTAATAATTTAATTATTATTTATTGAGAAGTATTTAGGAGCGCAACATATATTTGTAGATATTTCCAACACAGTTGTAGTTATGTGTTTCATGTTTGCGATCCTCTAGTAATTATCACACCTGTGGCTCGCAAGTCACTCTGATTCATCTATAGCGGTTTATTTACTAACCACCATATAACACATCTGGACTTTTTCCTCTTAGTACACAAAATATCTTTCTTCTAATTAATCACAGAAATTTTAAATAAATTAACCTCTTGGCGCTGGCCGAACGCAAATGTGCGGACTCCCAGCGTCTGGGCCTAGACGCCGAGCGGCCGCACATTTGCGTTCTATTAAAAAAAAGTATGTGCTGAGAGCACGCGCCCTGCGCGCCCCCAGCACACACGTTCGGTACTCACGGAAAGATCCTGATCTCCTCTTTAGATCAGGACCTTTCTTGATCATGTGACTGCCGTGACAGCGAATCACGGCGGTCACATGACCCTATAACCCCGCCCCAACTCCCGGCTTCTGGAACCCTTAAAGG